AAACAGAACAATGCCAGCCTAGTATTTCTGTTTTCTTTTCATCTTCCCCACATTTCACAGCTCCCACTTATCCTTTCTCTATTTCTTGACTACAAGAGTAGAAGGCTACAGCAGCAACACTTTGAGACACCACAGCCACGCAATCCCAATTTTCCAACAGCTGAAAATTAAGTCAAATAAACCACACAAAGACACAGCATTTTTTTTCCTGCATGATTGACTCTCACTTCTTTATGAAAACAGAGTGGTGTGAGATATGATATATTATTAAAATAGGATAAATCAGTGACCTTTATTTTTGTTTGGAACAAAGCACTCAAAAATTTCAGCTATGCTTTGTCCAACCCTTAGCACAGTCTGTAGATGAGTTAGTCACCAACAAGATTACCAAGCCTGTACTTTCTCTCATTCTGGTGAGTTTTACCTATCAGCAATAAATATTGTGCTTTAGTATCTCCTTAGGCTCCATGACAAAGTACTAAATATGATCTTACAGCTCAGATAAAATTTTAATAAACACATTCCTAACTATTTCACTATTGGCACCATGAACAATGCTTTCTTTCAGTATTACACTTGCATGTCTAGGGGTCTGAATAAAAATTTAAGAGATTACTTTAATTTTACAATAAATAATTAGCTAGCATGACCAAAATTTTATGCATCTGAGTTCTCATATGTGCACATTCGCTCATACTATATTTGGTAAGACCAAATCAAAATACCATAAATCATCATTATCTTCAGCCAAGATGTTTTACATACGCTGTTTGTTCTCTTTCCAAAGAACAGGAGTGCTAAATGTCGTAGGAGCAAAACCAACTCCCACACAACTTCAGATGAACACTGTAGCTCTCTGAATTTCTTATGAAGACTGAAAGAAACAGCTCAGCAAGGTTTTCAATCAAACAACTGCACGAAGCAGGGGAAAAAAACATTCCCCCAAGGAAAACTATGAGGGGATGTTTTTCTGAACCTTGGTAATCCTTCTTCTGTGTAAATTATGCTTTTACCACAGCATTATATCATGAGGAATTGCTTTTCTGTGTTTTCTATTACAGAGTAGAAAATAAGAAGAGAATAACAAAGTTGGTAAACACTGACAGGGTTATCTACAACAGTAATTCTGGTTTTAATTTTTTTAAAATTTTAATTAAATAAGAATGAGGTAATCATTAAGATTAATCTACCTGCTAGTCTAGCATTCATCATTGCTTCAAATTTCATATTTCTATCATCAAAATAAGCATATTACTTTATCCTTCTGCTATCCTTGTTTCTAGTGTTCCACAAGGCAGCAAATAAACACCTGGTGTTACTTTATGAGCTTTAATCACCTGATCTATTGTGATTTTTGGGGTTAACTTCTAGGATAAGGCTTTAATCATAACAATTCTAAAGAGAAGTGAAGTATTTTCTTAAACTTCACAAACATATGAATCATTAAACAAACATCTCTGAGTAAGGCACAACCCAGCAGGGCTGCCACACATCCACACTTCCTCCATTATTAACATTTTAATAGGTGATGACTGATCTTAACATTACAAATTCATATATACAGAGGCCACACAGCAGTAAGCAGCCTTCACTACATGTAATAAGTGAACAGGGTTTATCAAAGCAAAATTCTCTTTTGATCCTTTTCTTGGAAAATTAAGTAGAGAAAAATTTTAATCCATCTCAGTGGTGACACCTACTCCAGAAAATGTGACAAACCAAAACTAACCTGATTGCCTCATATGCCAAGCTTAAAGGCAGGAGTGATAAAAGAAATAGAGTGAGAATATAATAAAGTTTTCATAAGCAGAAAGCTTTAAAAAACGCCAAACCTACTACCCTCTTCCCAAGACCACCAACCAAAACTCAATTAAAAAAACCCACCTTACATGACATTAATTAAAAGAGCTTTAGAAAAAGTCTCCTATCTAAGTGTATTTTGTTAAGGTGTAGAGAAAAAGGGAACATGAAGAGAATTTAATTCTGTATGCCAGTGCCAGAAAATACATCTGGGCATAGTTTTATTCTGCCTACTCACCCCTCTCATCTCTATCACCCCTAGAAGGCAGGCATTTGAAGCCCTAGTGAATGAATCTAATTAGCTATTTTACATTTTGACTCAGCCACCTACATCTGCTACAGCAAACATCCCACCATTCCCTCCTGAGAAATCCAGGAATTTGTTTCCTTTTAAGTTTGGTCTAACAGCCAGTAGCTTTTTGGTTGTTGGGCACAGGTGGCTCCTAGCATGTCTTAAATACCATCTCCAAATCACTTTTTATTGTCTTGTAACAACTTTTGTGAAAAAAATTCAGTACAAGCACTTACAGAATATCAGCAAGTCCAAAAGTCTTGAGAAAAAGTAGGAACAAGGCCAGAAAAACACTAGGAAGGAACTTTCTTCTGCCTTAAGAAGGAGTTAACAGGACAAAAAAGTTATGTGCCAACAGTGATTAGAATTTCCATGAAGTAAGGACTGCAAAATTATTTGGGATCAAGGCTCACAATATTCACAAAGAAAATGTGCAGAGAAAAAGAAAATGCGATGAGTACTTCTAATAAAAATCTCTTGATAGTGAAAGCAAGAGGAAAGTATGGTTCTCATCCATAACTAGAAAAGCAAGACAAGTCCATGATACCCCTGCAATACAATCATGAAAAACTACATGAAAACCCTGAAGCCCCCACCTACACACAGACATTTTTCTTTTAATATAATTCACTTGAATTAAACTAGTGGCTCACCCACATATTAATAGTAAAATTAAAATCTAACTTTTAATTGTTACCATACAAATCTTACTCTGATTTAATCATACCAGTATAATAAAAATCACTGTGCTGTTTACTTTGGAACTTCTCCAGCTGTTGGCCAAATAATAACTTATTTTCTTTGAAGGTTTTCCTTAAAGCTATACACCTGTTAAATTTTTTCCTTCTTCCATCCCCTAACTGTAGATCTAGCAGCTGTAACAACAGCTAGGCAGATTAGCAACTGTAAAAGACAAATGCCAATTTCTAGAAAAGAGCTTTCCAATAAAAGAAAATAGGGTCTGTAGCAAGTTTCTGCAGACTCCCCAACTATAAGGTTTTACTCTGTAACTTGGCACCAGCTGGAGAGCTGTCTCTTACTCTGTGTTTCTGCTGAATTCACCATGCAGATTCCTTATCCTGTCTCTCATTCAGTTTTGACAGAGAAAAGTAATTTTGCTGTTGCAGAAAAAACAATGTCCTGCCACACTATTTTATTAATTATTTCTGTTGATACTGTTTTTAGTATCAAGACTTATTAAAAGCAAAGCTTTGATATCAGATAATAACTAGAAACACATCTAGTATGTATCATGTCACCAAGATTGAGCTGACTCTAAATTCTGCTTATCTTATACAGAGATCACCCCATTTGAAACAGAATGACCCAACTACAACATGAAAAAAAGCCTTCTTGTATCACAACCCTATCACAGTAGTGGATTTAGTAGTCAGAAAAGGGAAGGGGAAACAAAAAGAATCCTAAACTTGTTCATAATGATCCTTAAGGGTCCTTTTAGCTTTCTCAAGTCATTTACAATTGGCGTATGTTAGAGGAGTCTAAAAGTGTCTCTAGGTACTTTACTGATCTAAATTTATTAGGATAAGAACATTTGTGGCTTCTGTTGACTTTAATTGCAGTTGTGAGCATTAAGCTGCTCACAATATGCAGCCCACTTATTTCAGCATCTACGTATAGGTTGTGTACCAGCCCAGAAGAATTGCTAATTGGAAACACTGCTCCTGGTGCCAAAGTTGAATCTGAATGCTGAAAAGAATCAAACATTGCTTATTTGATTTGCTGTCTTTATCCTCCTCCTCTTCATCTCTACAACTCATGGGGAGTTTTACAAAATTGTTCAGCCTGTAAAGTAGCAGAAAGAAACTTGCAAAGAAACCTCCTTCTGGAAAAAAAAAGATAAAATAAAAGCATTATGAGCACTAACAAACAAAATCGACCAACCTTCCTGGGAACAAAACAGGCAAAGATGCCAGGGAATGCAAGGGCGAAATGTAGTTCTTAAAAAAAATAAACTTCAATTACTTTTGAAGTACATTTTTAAGTACCATGTACTTTTTTTGCTACACAGACTAACATACTCTGCAAATAACCACAGCAGTGACAGAAAAATATATGAAAAAAAGTCAGGAGAGATTTTATGACTTGAACAAAACAGTACCAGGTTCCACTCTTTCAAAAAAAAGTCTAAGAATTTCAATGCAGAAATAGGTTATGACCAACTGATCACAGAATTCAAGGAATTACTTAAGCAGGTTTTACCATAGGTACAATAATTGATTGTGAAGGTATGAAAATATAATACCCTGAAAGTTCACTCAGAGCATCCTCCTCTTATTGCAAACATGCTGGCAAGGCACATGTTCTGCTTCATGACACACACAGTAATGATCTGCTACAAGCTGTAATTGTTCCTGCACATGTACAAAAGAATATTGTGCTCTATCCCCAGGAAGACAGTGTGTGCTAGAAAGGGCAAAATGTACAGCTGAACACTGTGAGTCTTAATAGGAGCTGTAAGAAAAAGGATGAAGAAATTAATACTTACCATCTGTACATTACCAATACAAAAATTAATTCCCTTTGGCTGGAAAAGTATTCACAAATGCTAAATTTTCACCATATGCACTCTAATAATCTCAAAACCTTTTGATCATGCACTCCTAGCAGTAACAAAATTTTTGCACATGCACCCCAAAATAGATAGCTTTATTTCTTTATAAAGTATACACATGTATGACTGAAGTTGCAATATTTTCATCCCACACACCAATGGATCATCTCACACACCCCACTTTGAAGACCACTGCTGTAATGAACAGAACCAGTGCCAGCAAAACAAACATCTGCCCCAGATATTTGCTATGAATATCCATGCCAAAGTCCTGTGGGCTCTGAGCTGGCTACTCCAGCTAAGCCTTTGCTCACAGAAATGAAAAGTCAGTCTTACCAGTGGTGGTGGTGGTGGTGGAGGGGGACCTCCAGAAGGTGGTGGTGGAGGGGGACCTCCAGAAGGTGGTGGAGGTGGTGGAGGAGGAGGTGGTGGTGGCGGCGGTGGCACAGGCATCTGCTCAGATTTCTCGATTCACGCAGTTGTGAAAAATACAGCCAAAGTCTGGGTCCTTGAGGAGAAGGAAGGGAGGAAAAGGGAAAGTGGAAGAATAAAATGAAAAAAACAGAGAGGAATGTGTTTATATGCTGTAAGCTGAAGATCAGCCAAAATATCTAACTCTCAGCAGACTGAAGACTTTTATACTGCACTGCTTCCAAAAGTGCAGTACGAACAGCCTCATTACAGTTATGATGACAACATACATCTAAAGAGCAAGCTCATGGATCTGGAGCAGAGCCATGAGTACCAAATGCATAGATGCTAGCCTGTCCAACTATTACATCTTGCCTTAACCTAGCCCATAGACCTTAAATGCAATTCTGCAGAGAACAAATCATTGTCGACCACATGTAGATGCTCCTGCTGGGACAAAAACTCAGTTGACTTTAAGCCAGAGGTTTGCTGCTCTAAGGAGAGAGTAAGAGACTTTTTAAGGTTCAGTGGACTTACCCAATGTTAAAAAAAAAAAAAAAAAAAAGAGGGAAAAAGCCCTCATGATTTAATAATAAATAAAGAAATAATTCTACAGATTAATGCTTCTATTACCAAATGATATCATATCAAGGATCAGACATCTCAAGTGTTAAAGTCAAGTGTTTTTCCTGCCATTTTTAAATGTTAGTTTTCACAATTCTTTAGTAACACACTGACAAAAAGGCACATATCTTCTAATAAAAGCTATATGCTTTTCTTTTTAAAAAAATCTTTTGTAGAATGACTCATTGATTTTCATACCTAACCATGCCCTCAGCATGACTCAGTCATCATAAAGTTAAAAAGAAACACCTGTATTTCATTAGTAAAGTTGCAAATGAAAGTACTAGGCAGTGCCAAAGAGAACCCTATGCAAGCCATGCTTGACATCTTCTTTTGATAGTGACAATTGGATAAATGCTCCAAACACATCTAGTTTTATGTCTTGTTCTACATCCATCATGTCACGATTATTTTCTGAGACTCCTCATAATGTAATATGAAACAGTGTCAAAAGCCCTAAAATAACACAAAATATATCATATGCTTTATCTTTTCTTTCTGCAAGGCTTTATCTTAACAAAAAATTACATTGATTTCTCACATTTACTCTTTATACATCTCTCTAGGTCATAATTTCTTTCCCTGATTCTTGAAATGTCTTATAAACATTTTTCACATTTTAATGTTTTAATAAAAATTGATATTAAGTTAAAAAGACCACAATTCCCAGAACCTGTTCCCCTTCCTTCTCCCTTCATTTTTAGAAATAGGCACTCCATGCTTTTCCAGAATCATCTGTGTAGGGAGATGGCATGACAGTTAAATCTGGAAAAGTTCAGGAGAGAAGATAACATATAAATGAGGCAAGTTACAGTCTTGAGTGGAATATCTGGTTGGTTTGCTACAGGGTTAGATGCAGAGGGAAAAGACAGTGAAATTAAAACATAGATGGAGACTTGTTCACTTCCTACCTAGTGTACATGAACAATATCCCAATTATGTCTGAGTATTTTTCTCCTTTTCTATCTTGTAAAATACTTAATGAGAGATTAGTCAAAAATTAAACATGCAGAGCCTCTGAAATACTTACTTTATCTATTGAGAGATTGCTATGCAAAGGGCTGGCTGATCAAAGCACCCTGATCTGTAACAGAATCAGTTACAATCACTTTAATAATCTCTTAATGAAGCTTTCCAAGAAAACTGGCATCACAGCATCTCCACCATTCCACCCTCATTGTTGCCCTATTCAAAAACCCATCATTAGAAGATATCTCTTTTCCTCAATTAAGCCATTCAAAAACACGGACATAAGGAGAATGAGTCTTCCCAGCTAATAATATGTTTCGGGTTAGTATCTTCCTACCCTGCAATACAGGCCTTTTGTCTTCATTAAGGATTTAGAATGGGAAATATGCTCTTAGTCAAATAAGGAAAAAAAAATACAACCCACGCTCCTGTGGCAGACCACATGAATGGCAGCAGGAGGTAGAGTACATTGGAGGCAAGCAGCAGTGGGAGAAAGGAAATGGGAATCAGCTCCTGCTATTTAAAAGTCACAATCTGAAATGCCATCAGATGACTTTTCTAGCTGCCTCTCCACCAGTCCCTGCCCCAGCACTCATTCTTCCAAATGATGCCTAAATTCAAGGACTAGAAACTGTGTGATCATCTACAACCCAAAATTCAGTGCAGAGGAAAGATTCACCAAGTATCCCATTCCCATATACTCCTGTCCAGTGGCATCAGGGCAAAATGCATTCTGTGGGGCTATAACACACACCCCTTGAATGAAATACTGGAGACACCATATATCTTTCCTGCCATGTTGTTTCAAACCCTCTACAAAAGAACCACCTTTCAGAAAATCCTGCTGACATGCCTTCTTTAGTCTCTTACCGCAAATTCAAAGGCTGGATGTCCTGACTTCGGCATACTTTTGTGTACACATTAAAACTCATGGTTTTTATACCAGAACTATTACAGGGTAATGCCTACACAATGAAGAACCATTTTCCACATAGGGCCTCTATTTGTTCAAGTGTGCTTTGAAAGGAGCACTGCCATCTCACAAGTAGACAGTGTATGCTAATAAAGACAGGAATCCTCAAGCTGACTTACAATAAAAAACATTTGGCTCGTAATATTTAGTCATAACTGCACAATCTACACTTTTTAATATGTAGGATTGGCTATGAAAACCTCTTTTGTATTACTGCAGCAATATCATGTGGACTGTATTGAAAGAAAATTATGGAGAAGGCTGGAACACTTTCTATATATCAACACACATTACTTGGAGGCCTATGTTCCTTGGTTAAAGGCTGTATTTCATTTGCCTCTCCCCTCTCTCTTTCTCTCTCTCTCTATATATATATACATACACAAACATGTAAATATATATGTATGGATATGGATATGGATATGGATATGGATATGGATATGGATATGGATATGGATATGGATATCTATAAAACCCATGGTCTGTAATTTCACACAATAGCTTCAAAACATTCTGAGTTTATGGCTTTTCCCATAACAATCAAAATAAATTCTGAATTAAGGCCAAAAAAAGGAAGATCATATTGATCAGTTCCAGTGTCTGTTAAGAGCCAGGCAAGAGGGAAATGCTACAAAGGATCCTTAAGGCAAACATGCCCTTTCTCCACTTCTCTAAATATGCATACCTATAATTGGAAGAGAGGGGTCTGAAGTATCCCTGAGGGACAGAAATAAAAAGATACAGTTCAAAAGGCTGGAAATAGGTGGAGGGGAGAAGTCTGTATGTTTAACCTCAGTTTCTTAAGGCAAGAAGCAATGTAAATCTTACCTTGACTTAAATATCACAAAACAGAATTGAGCCCAAAAATTGTAGAATTTATTGCAAAATAAGAGAAGAAAATCTGAAACTCTGCTTTTTCTAATCCACTTCCCTACCAAAGCAAGGTTGTACATTTCTTTTCTAGTGCTTTCTGAAGTCTAATTTTAGGTGTCCCAAATAACGTGGCTTTTATTATTTCCCTTGGGAAGCTCTTTCCAAGTCAAATAACTCTTTTAGTTCAGATTGCCTGACACACAGCCTAATTTCTCCTTCTCCTAGTTTGATCCCATTTGCACTCCACTGCAGATGACTCTATCTTCTTCCATGCAAAATAGTTTCTCCTACTGCTCAGCATCAGCTTTGTGGAATATAAGCACTGTAATTCGAAAGTACATTTGCAAGGACTTTTTATACTTTTGGAGTTGTTTTACTTCTCACAAGGCAGTGAACTTTTCATCAGTCAGATCTCAAAACAATTGGTCTTCTTTTGTTCTGTTGGTAAGGATAATTTTGAACCTGGTAATTTCAGGTGTCACAGATTGTTCTTTCTGTGCTCTCACTGCATGTGCTTGAATAGCAGCTGGGTTTAAGAACAAGACTGCAGTCATCAATGTAAAAACTCAAGCTCCAGATTTCTGAAGGCCCAAATAAAGTCTTCACCCAGACTTTAATTTGAAGTGTCAGACAAGACAGATTAGGTGCAGATCTTTCTTCTTCATGGATGACTTTCTCAACCTTGTGCTGGATTTGCCTGTGGGAAACTCAAAATCTCTGCCTAAACTTTTTTATAGCTTTGGTCTCACTTTGTTCAGCTACCAGACATGCACAAACTCTGATGCAAGTTCTTCCCAAAGGTCTCCTCCTGAAGCATCACTGCCACAGCCTCAGTGCAGGGCTCACACTAAAACAAAATCCTGCAGGGAGCAGAGATCCACACTAAGAAACAGCGTAGCAGCTCATGTCTCCTGCCACACTGACATTCAGCAGAATCAACCCAGGTATGGCTGCAAAAACTATTCTAAAATACCTTTACCTATCAAGGAAAGGGAAGGCATGAAATAGCTGTACCTTTAATTTAGTATAATGTCTAGAAGGGGAAAAGACAGAGGGGAAAAAAATCACAATTATTCAAATGTGCATAATATGCATTTATATACTAAACCAACTCTGAATAGGGGTATTTTTTAAATGGCCAATGTCCTTATGTCTTTAGGTGGTAAAGTCATTAACATGAAACAGCACAGTTGGAATTAAAAATCTGACCCTTATAACCAAATTGGAGAAAGGACTGCAAAATAACACATTCATTACGACTGGGTTTGCAATCACTGCAGCTGCACACTCTGAAGTAGGTAATTCAGCTTTGGGGAAATGTACAGGTTTTCTTCCTTCAAAGGAAAGGCTGGGGGAGATATTTCAAAGGTGTGCAGGAGAGCTTATCTATAATATTGGTCTTACTTTCCTGATTAAAAACTGAAGGAAGAAAGTAGACCACAAACTGGTTTTATATTTTAATCAACTTTTATATAATCAAATATGATTTCCTGATTAACTGTACTGTTCTGAATTATAGCTTTAAAGTCCTTATATTTCAACAGAAAAGTCGAATAATTTCAAAATTACCTGTGAAAAAACAGCATCAATAAATATTTGCTCAACTTTTATGATATCAAAAGACAATTAGCATAATTGTTTAATTAGCAAATTGCCCATTTGCTCCTGTGAAACATCACTGAAGAACAGCTGAAATCACTGGTATGAGATCTCCACAGATCTTTTAAAGACGTGCATATACAGGGAAGATGAAACCAGAGGACAGTAGATGTATGTTACACAGATCAACTTTCCTGCTGTCACTATCACACAACTGGAAAAGACTTGGAAAAAGCTTCTATTTGGAATGAGCAGGTCTAGATTCTAATTTTAAGGTAATCGAACCATTCAAGCATTGGATGCTGCATTTTTTCTTCTTTTTAGAGTGTGAATGAATTTTTATGTTTAGAGAACCCAACAAGAAAGAATCATGATAAAGTCTCTGAATATCTTGTCTCTTTTTCACCCTACAATGATAACCCCATTCACAAAATAATTGATGGTCTCTGCTGTGTTTGAGACATTTAAGAACTGTGCAGAAGTGTCAAATTGTTAGAATCTTCATTTAGAGCAGGAAGGCAAATACCCATACACATATCCATCTTATTATATGTATATATTAAGACTTCCACATGTATATTCCCACAGCTGGCTAAGAAAACTCCAGCCTTTCACCATCTAACAGTTGTACATCAGAATTGAGTACAACTTGAGAGAAATTTCTGCTCTCAGTCACCATTTACATCACTGCTACTTAAGGCAGAATCTTTTTCAATTCCATTGGAGTATGCAAACCTTAAGGAAGGGCTCTTTCTCCATTAAATACCTGATAAAACACTTCTAAGCAGCATTTGTCTTCTACAGGGTCTGTAGGACTGTCTCACAGCACGTAACAGTATCCTGAATTTAAGCCAAGGACTGTAAGTTCCCCTCAGCTTGGACTATTTCCACCAGGCTTAATGCAGTTAAGGGCTGCTTCCCCTTTCTGCCTGAAAAAAGCCCAGCATGACTCTTATTCTGTCAGAAGCCTGATAAAATTGCCACAAACTGTCCAGGGCTGACCCAGCAGGGACTACAGGAATGTGAAGACGCCTTACTTCCATGTGTGCTGTGGGCAGATCTCTGCTGAGTTCCCTGTGGTGCTGAGGCCACAAATTACAGTGCTGTTCCTCAACAAACCTCCCTTCAGAGGCAAAGCTGCACAGATGACTTCACATCCCTACATATGACTATTTCAGGGTGTAACTTCCTCTGCTCCATGGGGATCTGTCAGAGAAGACTGATTGTAAGGGAGCTGAATAAGATAATTCATCATCCTTTTTAAAATAAGGAGTAAGAGGAAAGAACAACACATACCAAGAAGAAATATGTTGTGCCTATATTAGCAGTGTTAACCTGAAGTTAGAGAGCCCAAAGACAAATGAGGTAAATTAGAAGTAATTAGGACTTGCACAAAGACATAACTTTTCAAAGGAAACAATTTATACAAAGGGTTTCCTTGAAATTAATACTGCATCATCCACACAAAGACAGTCATGGCTTGTTTCACTGCCAGCTATACAAACAATGGTGAATTTGATATACAGCCATTAGCAAAGTTAATAATTGGCCTAAGCTAAAGAAAGTGCAGCTCAGTAGACATTCAAGGTCACAGCCACATTCTGAAGACAACAGTTTACCCTTATACTCCTCAGGACTATCAGTGTGAGGAGCTTTGAAAGGAGCACTGA